ATTAATAAATTATAAAAATAAATGGAATTTTAGATTTAATTATTAAATAAATGAATGAAATAATTGAGAATTACAATTGAGTTTCATTCGCAAATTATCTGTTTATATAGGCAAGAAGCTAAGCAAAACTAACTTTTTTTTTTTCACCTCCTAATTAAGAAATCTTTAAGAACTAAAATTGATTTAAAGCAAACCTAAAATTTTGTCCTTACCTAATTCATAAATATATTTCATTTTAGTTTTACAGGTTCTTCCTCTTACAATCAAATCAATGTAAAATTGTACTTCCTTGCATTAGAAAAAACAAGAATGTTGAAAATATACATCTTGACTTTTTTGCTTTTTTAATTTTTCATTTTGACTTTGGGATGAGTTGGGGAGAAGTTTGAAAAATAATGTTTAATGGATTTCTTGAAAGATGAAAACCATGGTGGGGTGGGGTTTTGGGTTGTCTGCTAACAGGATTGATACTTTTTTTCTTTTGTTTTAAATTTTTTAGTAAAGCTTGTTTAAGTATAGGGATTAATTTTATTTAAAATTTGAAAAGTAGATGCACTAAAATATGATTTAACTATTTCCTTTGACTGCTGTGATCAGATTTTTAAACTAGTATTGAAAGCCCTAACAAAGGGTTAATTTGCTTATATCCCAAAGTTAAGGGGCTTTAAGGATAAAAAATAGTTTTGGGGGGTTTATGTGAGAAAATGGGTTAGTTTGGCGGCTTGTGCCGTAGTTTGTGAATGCAATATTTTAGTTTTTTTTTTAATCTTTTTATTATTCAAAAATATATAAAATATTAATATTTACAAGCCGGACATGGAAAAAATAAAAGGAAATTTTGAGACCAAAATTTGAAGCTAATGATGTGGTGTTTATAAACTATAATATTAAATAAACTAATACATATAATATTATGTATGAACCCTAATAACATAAAAAATTAATAATTAAATAATATAAAATTTATTTATTAATATTTTAAATGACATAACTTAAATTTTAATCTTGTTTATCATTATTCTAAAATTAGGATCTCACTAAGGCACCACAAGAGAAACCAATATCATTTCAATTTTACTTTAAAAATAAGTTAATTAGTCTCTCTCCAAAAAAATTATTAAAACAAGGTAATTATTTGATTTTTTTTCTCCTAATTTTTAAAAATCCAACTAAGAAATACTTTTCCTAACAGATTATATATATATATATATATATATATATATTTAAAATATTAACAACTAGAAAAACATAGTACTCTCATCCCAATATAATAGTACTTATTTTTTTATAGTTTAAGGGAGGGGTACTAATATAGAGATAAATTTTTTATATAATTTTTATATATCATTAAATAAATGAATGCATTTAATATTATGGTCCAAATAAATAAATAAATAATCATTTAAATAATAAATAAAATTGTACTAAAAGATAATATAAAATAGTTGTTTTAAAATCATTTTTTGTTAAAAAAGATAAATATGTTTTTTTATTTTAAT